AAGAGCTGTGGATCCTTCACCATCTGCTAGTCTATTTAATATTGCAATTTTAGTTTCTAATGTAATTGTATTTCTTTTCACTTTTTTTTGGTTACGATTATTCATTTTAAGGGAGTACTTATGACTAAAAATAAAATAAAAATCATAAAAACCTATATTTAAATAGGGAAAACAATTAATTTACCTTTAATCTCACTATAAAATTAATCCTGACTTAATGGCTAAAAGATCAGCAATTAACTAAAGTTATTAGATGGCGCAGTATGTATTGAAATTGGCTGATGCAATATATGCATAAGAACATTGAGCATGCCTAATGAAACAGGCTGATGCAATAGGTATGAAAATGGCTGTTGCAATGTGTACATACATCCTGATATCAAAAAAAGTGATGCCAACACAGTTCAGATTGATCTAACCTCTCGGCGAAATTCAATGTGTCGATATTCATATACCGCACAAAAAAAGAATCCCACAAAAAGAATCGCACAAAAAGAATCGCACAAAAAAAGCGCATAAAAAAAGATCGCACAAAAACAGGTTTGACTGTAATAGCCATTGTTTTTTTGGGATATGAAAAGATCTTAACTTTATTTAACACTGTATAAATTTTTAATACAATAAGGAAGTTTATTGTTTTGCACATTTGCTTATACTTTGTTTATATATAATAAATTTATTCTTTACATATCTTAAATTTATTCAAACAATAGAAATTTTTAATGCAATATCAAATTTTATTTGGTATATCCTTTTTTATTAACAATATGTTTTGTGAGGAACAAATGTCGTCCCTCGTTTCGGCCTCACAGGTTCTCCGTCTCTGACGGGGGAGTGCTAGAGTAAGTTGGGTTAAGAACAGGGTTAAGTAACCTGCTAGACGGACGACCGGGTTTAGAAAACCACTGCCAGAAACGGACTTTTCTGATTGGGATATGGTAAAGGTGCCAAAAGGCCGCACATAACTCGCTACCAATTAAGAGCCTGCCAATAAGAGAGAGAGAGTTAACCAACAAATTAAATTTGGCGATTTAAGAGAGTAATTAAATTTGGCGACTTAAGAGAGAGATTGTGTATGTACTGCATATCGTTAGCAAATAGTTAAAATTCTCTGCTCTCTCAAAATAACGAAATTCTCTCATTACCAGAATTTCTAACGGAGAGAGCAAGATATGAGTGATGAGAGAAAAAATAGCCCCTAGTCAAAAACCATTCGTCTAGGTCTCGTTCTTTTTTCGCTTCGGCCCATACTGCTTTCAATTCATTTAAACCTGCAAAATGTTCGTCCATTTTGTCAGTGCTGTCGAAACCTAACAAGTCCTCGTCGATAATCGTAGTCTGTCCGTTCTCAATGGAAGGATGCACAGAGCCGTCAAATCGAGGTTAAAGGGCGATTCAAGCAAAACCTTGTCGATAGCTTTCGCACAGTTTTCAAAATGAAGGTAAGGTGTCTTAAGAACGAAACGCAATTAAGGTACTCTACCTATGAAGCGTACATGTTTAAAAAAAGACTGTTGACAAAGGAGTAATGATGTAGTGAAAGATAGTCCTCTTATCTTTCAGCCTACGTGCAAGACACACAAGACAAATTTTTCAAATATACATTAAAATCGTTATTACTTGCATTAGCAAAAACAACAATATTATTGAGAGCTACAGCATCACTATCATTGAACAGCCTGTTATACGAGAGCAAGTGTCTACTCATCGTCGCCTTTATCGCTGTGAGGAGAAGCTGTAAACTACGTCTTGTCCCAATTATTTTGATATTGTACGTACGCTTATTTTCTCCAATTCTTGGGAAGAAGAATAACCTTCTTTAAAAACATCTGTCTGATCAGCATGGCGTTCCGAATACATTTAGTCAAACTGTCGATACATCAATTACTACTGACAAATGATAAATACAGGCTGAGCTCCAAACCATTAAAAGTCTTATATATAAAATAGGCCGCACAGCAGATACATTGTTGATGAACTTGAATAGCAGCAATGATCACTATTTGTACGTCTGTGTGGAAATCTCGATTACGACTTTAAAGTTTTTTTTACAAAGTACACCAAAATCCCCCTTCTTCACTTTATTAGTTTAAGCTATACGAAGTAAGCTTCGTTAAAGAGTTAGGGAGCATCTTTAACACCAACGAAATATTTTAGGCCAAGAACCACTATTAAGTATCTTACATTGCCCAAAAGTTAGTCATGTAACGACTTATTGAAATATGGCGTTGTAAAGGAAGTGTTTGAAGCCGACATGGTCCGATTTACTTTGAACAGCGTTCGTTCTTGGGGTCAAAACACATCAGTGTATCAAATTTCATCAAAACATCTCAAAATTTGCAGCCAGTAGCTTGAACACAAATTTACATGAAGAGACATCAGACGGACAGACAGGCTTAGATCAATTCAGATTCAAATCGGTGTAATAAAAGTTACATCCATCATAAGCTCTTCTGCGCACTACCTTAATATACCCTGTATCACAAATGGTGTAGGGTATAACAAATTCTGTCTTTCGAAATTATTTTTACCAAATTTTTAGAATTTAATATATAAGCTTTATGGAAAAATGATCAAGTTCAAGACTCTGGTTCGGCCAAAATTAAAAATTCCAGCGGTATTGATTTACATCACGTGCATCCATGTGGAAATACCTTTCAAGCGAGTTAAACAAATTGAAATTCTGTTTTTCGGAACTAGTTTTGCATATTTGAGGGTATTTTCATATAGATTCATCAATTATCGACAAAAATTATCTTACGTCTCCTAATTTGGACGGAGTAGCAAACTTCTAAATCTAAGCATAACTTTATCCTAACTACTACTTAACAGGACTAGTTACGACATTACGGCAAGCTCTGTTAACGCTGTTCTCTGTTCATAAAATTCGAGTTTATTTTGACATCCTTGACATCCTTTTATTTGAAATCCTACCTTGAAATAATAGCTTTCTAACCAGTATAGTGAAATGTAAAAGCTTAAGTTCGACTCCTTTTAGAATCAAAGTAACTTTTAAAAACGAATATAATATTGTAAAGTCTCCAGGGTAATGAAGATTTTCTTTACAATTTTCAATATTAAACTAAAATTCATATAACAAAAAAAACAAAAAAAACAAATTTTATATTGTAACATAACAAAAATGAAACCTATGACGTTAATATTTAAAAGTAAAATTACAAGGATATTTATAAGAAACTAGTGGAGCGTTAACAAAGATATATTAAGGAATCGAAAACAGAAGCAACTCTATTAAATGTATGATAAGAATTCAAGAAAGATCGACATGTAAGGAAATGCTGAAATGAAATCATGAACTTTCAGATGAACGTAATTGTAGTAGAACCATGATTAACTAGAAGCTGTTTAATTATTAGCTCCAACTCGAAAAAAAGTATAAGAAAAAAACAAGCGAAATTTGCAACATTTTTCCGCCATCCAAAGATCGGTTGCACCCAAATAAAATAAAATTTGTAAACCTTTATATTTCAAAAATGAAGTGGGTTGATATGAATAATGAAGAAAATCTCCAAAATCCATATGGATGGATATAATCGTTGGAAAATTGTAATTGCTTGGAAGATAATTACTTTTAATTTCTTGTTTCAAGTGAGTTATATTTAAGCAAATGATGATATACACCTGTAACGACGAACGATATCGCCCAAAAGGAGGTCAATCAATTTACCGTAGATTCCGAGGAATCAACAGAACTGGATCAAACGATTGCGCATTTGGAGATTAAATTGGAAACAATGGTTTCTGGAAGCCCTCCTCGATCTTTAAAATCGGTTGTATATTTAAAACCTGTAATGGTTTTCAGATTTTTTCCAATATCAACGGATGGAACTGCGAACGAAGAGAAGAAAAGAAAGAAAGATATGATATTATCACCAAGAACTATGTGAAACCAGTAATGTCCTGATTTTTAGTTGTATCTAGCTTGAAAGATGACCAACGATATAAGGATAAGATTGAAGAACACGAATGGTTCAGTTGTGGCCCAACGTCACGTTTGGATACAATTAAACTGTGCGGTTTCGGACGACGACCATGATCGAAAAAATTTATTGTCGGAAAAGAACAATGGTAAACAAAAAAATTGTGTTGAAGGTAATAATATCATTAACCACGAGTTTAAAGAATATCGTATTCAAAAAGCTAAAACAATTTCTTATATTTTCCCAATTGTAAAATTACATCCGTACATTCAAACTTGAATAAGCAAATAAATGTTCTTAATTTAGGTGAAATTTCTAAACCTGGCTTGTTAGTATATCTAGCCAATCGTCGTCTGAGCCAACGCGATCGTGAAGCCATTATGCGGTACTTACGTATACATCTGGTTAACAGTAACAGCAACAAATTTAGCAAACCTCCCAAACGCAAGTCGATATGATTTCGAATAATATATTCATAAATCAATTACAAAATCTTGAAAATTTGGCTATCGTGCAGCAAACCGTTTTTGTCGTTTGTTTGCTTTATGTTTTATGTTTGTATGAAAAACACAAGTAAAATATAAAGGGAGAAACCATGCCAGTTGAATTTGTATGAAAAACACAAGTAAAATATCCATGAATGAAACATTATTTTAGCTTAAACGTTGTTAGACCAAAAATGAAAGCATTTTTAGTCTTGTTATGAAAACACGTTACTTTCTCAAAAAGATCAGTAATTTTTAAAAGTCTTTCTTAAAAGGTAAAGGCTTAGATATCGTTATAGTATCTTTTTGAAAAAAATAACTAACGAGTTTATTTTCATACGAAGTTAGATTGCTCACCGTGTAGGTTGAAAACAAGCAGTCTTACTCACTTGACTCAACCATTTGGTTGCGTGTTGGTTCATTTTCAATATGTAAACAACCATTTGGTTGCGTGTTGGTTTATTTTCAATATGTAAACTATTTGGTTGCGTGTCGGTTTATTTTCAATTTATAAACACAACTCATCAGGAAATAGAGGAAGACAAGTTGGCAATAAGAAAGAAAACGCTGTTTAGTTCTTCAACAACTGCCGAAGAAAAAACTGGTAAACGTCTAGAAGAAATATGAAACATTATAAGTAAATGTTAAACGCGTGCAAAGAATTAACTTAAAATCGTCGAAGTATCCGATATTGGTAAGAAAACTATGTAATAATTGTGAAATTAAAAATAGAAGTTAAAATTTGAAGGAAAGAAAACGTTCAGTAATCAATTCAGCAGAGAGATATATGTAAAACGAGATTATTATTTTATACTCTGTAAACTGTAAGTATGTACTTTTTTGAAGCCGAAAGTACATTTTATCGTAATTTTATATTCATTTTATTATTTATACATTTCTACATTGATTTATGATCCTAACTTTTATTTGCACAAAATAGAATGCTGGCAAAGATTGGATAGGATGGCATGGCAATATTGCTAAATTTACGACAAATTTATATTTCTTCAACTATGGTTTATGCTGGAGCACGTTTCTCAGTACGTCTGGAGCAAAAACCGCCGTCCTCACCAACGATTATCTAGCTTCGGAACAATAGCTCAAGATAAAAAAAATAATATAAATATTACATTATTAATTCTAAATTCTTTATCACGATATGCAGCCTTGCTACGAAGTAGTTTGTCCAATTTCTCTGGTAGTCTTGCCACCGAAGATGGCAGCGGAATGACAACAAGTGTGAATAGCAAATCGAGTGTACCTGAAATACTATATGAAACCAGAGAGCGTAACATTAAATTGACCACTGAGGTGGAATCTTTAAAGCAACATTGTAATAAGTGGATATCAGACTAGCTTATTGAATTACTCTCAGATGCTTCTAGATTAAGGTGGATTTCAGGCCCGCTTATTAATTATTATTAAAAATCACAATTAATCAAACAGTTTTTGAAAATCCTCTCGAATTGGCAGATGATATAAGACAACACAATTGTAAATTATAAGCTTGGCATTTGTCTTTGTATTCAGCTGTTTGGCAAAAACGTTAAGGTCTTTGCGTTGGTGACTCTGCTTAACGAGGGTCTATGTGCTTTGTTGTTGGCCTGATACTTGTAGCAGTTGCGGCAAGACGACTCTTGTTGAATTTGTACATAATCCAGTTTTGATGTTTATTTCCTTGCCAATATGTTTTGTTGTTTGCATAAACGATGTACAGCTGATTCAAAATACTAAAGCTAAACGGATGATTGAAGCATTTGAGATTTTAGTATGCCAAAGCAAAGTTTGACATCTCTCGCGAAATATCTTTGAAATACAAATTAATACACATAATAATTTGCCTGGTGACTGTCGGTTTTACATCATAGGTGTAGCAGTTTCATTTGATCATTTAATACCGACTTCAGTAATCCAAGCACAGGTTCCAAATACTATGATTTTTAATATCTTTAGTATACGTTGTTTTGTTGCATTCTATGACTGAGAATTCATGTTTGAATACATCTTTGTGTAGGGGCTAACTTGCTACAATTACTCATGTTATAATGAACGGTGATAAGCAGACTGGGGTTAGCATTATGAGAATTGAACCCAAACGTTTTGATGTGGTGGTGTAAGTTCACTAGCGTAAAATTTGATCTAAGCTTATCAGGTTTTTGCTCAATGCTGTGCATTGGTTTATTTCTATACACTTACTTGTTTAAGTGGATATATAAGCCATCCTATTGGAGGAGAATAAATATTTTCAATATTTACATTCTAACAAATGGTCGCTCATCCACTTATCCTTTAATTTGCCAGAATTCGAGGATAGATTGTTTACTTCTCCTTCAATTTGCCAGAATTCGAAGATAGATTGTTTACTTCTTCTTTAATTTGCCAGAATTCAAAAACATTCTTGGAACATGTTTAGCTTGCACGGTGTCCGTATTGCCTATTAATGCCTTGCCATATACGTTCAAAACTTTGCCAGTTGCTGCTGGCCAAGCAAGCCAAACCAATTTCCAAGCTTGAACGCGGAATTTGGAATAAACTACTTTGCTTTCTTATAATTTGAGAAGTGGGGGAGAGTGTATTTAGCAGCTGTTCTGGCTATGTGATACAAAAAAAGCTACAGTCATCAACCAATACTGAATCGCATCACACAGGCGATGCCAAGCCAACCGAAAACAAAGGTTGCTTTTCAGACACATGAGAACCTTGCCACTATATTCTACTTGCACATTTTCTTGTTCTTGTTTTTGTTGAAACGTTTAAAACCATTTTCCTACCGGTTTCAATCAAAAAATTGATAATTTTCGTAAACGATTCGATAGAAACTTTGAATATTAATTGTTTAGTTACGTCACTTACTTCATCTGTGATAGCCATCTTTTAAGCTACGCTTGTACAACTTGGTTGGTTTTCTTCAGGAGCAGTTTTTTTATATTTGCTCGCACTTTTTTCACGGAATCGTCTTTGTCTTCCATACCGTAATTTTAATTTTCTGCTGCTGGGCATAAATTCTCTTTGGCGAAATAATTTATAATGTTAAGTATAAATTCTTCCCCGAGCTTAACTTAGCTTGGTGAGCCTACTTCCCTCTTGTTGAATTCCTAAAAGCAAAGAATGATGTTTTCCGTTGGTTGAGAACCCCGAACGTAAAGAATGATAATAAAATCTTTTGCTCGATTACTTATCGCTTTAAAAATGTGAGAATACGCAACCGCGCTCAAAAGGACAGATCTTCCAAATTCTTCAATAAATACTCGATTGGCGAGAAACCTGAAGAAAAACTACGGGAAAAGTAAATTAAACGGCTTGCGATTAAAACGTTTGAAGATAGATTGGATACATCAAGGCCCTAATCTTTGCAGAAACGTTGACAACACTGGCCCCCGACTTTGCATAAACAAAAAACACATAGTTTTTGTTTGAAACTAATTAGTCCATGTTTAGGTAAGATGCTAAGTTAGAAAATAGGGGAGTCTACCCATTGAGTGAGTTTTTTTATTCTCTTACGGATTGGAAAGAGTTGCTAGTGCCCACAGAATGTCAAATTCTAATTGTAGTACCAACAAATTCCTCAAATCTCGTATAGATAACTTGGTGCTAGACTTAATAAGAGATTTTAAATCAGCAAATTCATTTCTATTGGAAAATATAATTAACAAAAAAATTTTGTTAAAAATTAGTGAGAAACAATAGAAATTGAATAATTTGCTTGCTATTTGCCTGCCAGCCTCTGTGTGTGTGTGTGTGTGTGTGCACGAGAATATGTGTATCTGTAAAAATTATTAGTTCTTGCGTCATTTCTTAATATTACTATTTATTTATTACTAAAATTCATAGGAAGCGGTTTCCTCATCACTTTACACATACATACATACACATTGTGTACATACACACTAACAAAATCCAAAACCTTGGTGCAAACGTTATTCATAACAGTGACCCAAAATTTCTGCTATTGAAAATCTAATCACCAAAAGGCCTACATGATCAAGGAATATCTCAAGCAGCATTTGAATTGTTTCACGTAACATATGGCATGTGGCATAGTCTTGTTCAAAGTTCAAATATACATAACTTTATTTTTAATTTATAAAAATACTAATGTGTTAACATCTGAATTTAAGTAGAAATTTGCAAAACTTTTTAAAATAAATTGCAAATCAATCCCCGTTTTGGATTATGTAAATAAAAGCCAAACTTTTAATGTTCATAAAACATGTTAAAGTGGATTTACCATATTTTTTATTTCGTCTCAATTCAACTTGAAGATACAAAAGATATGCCGCTTTTTATTTCCTCACCTATTCATCTCAGTTGGAAGATCTCTGACGAAACGACCATTGTAACGTTTTTACCTTTTTTAAGACTCAGTGAGGAAGAGAAAGTAAAGTATGAGTAACTTTTGGAATACCTAGAAGCCCGTACAATAGATTGTGGTCAAGATTCAGAAAAGCCAATATCGCTAATATTCGTAGAGCAAGTAGATTTAAAGGTATATCTAATATGTGCAGAAGTCTTTTTTGGCACGAAATTCAAATGATCGCCCTCTTTGTGGTGGTGAGCAGTTGAAGAGAAAGTATTCGCACGAGTTACATTAACACTTAAAAAAAAAAAAAATTGGGACCAACCGGTGCCCCAGAACGGCAAGGTAGGCTGCTATGACACTCGCGACGTATCCGTTTGTTTTTAACAACTCGCGATATCGGAAGAAGGAAAAAATCCAATAACACGTGTTCGAACAATCGATAATAAAAAATTCCAACGGAAAGTCGGGTCACCACGCTGGTTTCCCTCCTACGCCTCTTAGATTTCATTTGTATATCTTAACCTCCGTGTAAATAAATAAAGAGTAAATAAGAACGTACCCGAAGGTCCAAGTAATTTTTATTCAATAAATATTCTTGGAAAGAGTCGCGGAGTGGCTGAGCTTACCCTGTCCAAGAAGACTCGTTACAAATAAATTCCAAGACTTAAGTCTTGAAGCACTAGGGTCTACAGCTATCGGCTTTTATGAGATTTGAATCCGCGAGCATTGAGTTCTACTTGCGAAATTTCCTTTGTCAACAAAACAAAAACTGACTTGCTAGAATGATATAAATTTCCATATTTGCTACATGAAAATATTAAAACTTCCGCGGAAATTTCGGAAGCTCTCAAGGAAAACCAAGGTATTACTTAAGAGTAACTCGTCTCTAGGCTCGCTCTCATGACGGATTCAAAACGCCACTTGGCCAATCTGCGATGCACATCAGAGAGGACAATGGTGACAAGTCAAAAGTATCAGAGCAGAGGGATACGACGCTTTTAATCGAGACACTAGCAAGACGAAGGCCGAAGAATATTTTCCCGACTTTCATTGTAGTTCTACAAACCTATGCATTTTGTGTAACTATAGTTTTTTATCGTGTCATGATCGCTTATCTGATTATTCCGTTGCCTTACGGCGCCCTGGAGAAAGATGATCCGCTTAACTGGTTGATGAATTTGTTTGTCTACTTACAAACGAAAAGTCAATCAATAAAATTCAAGCAAATATCAAATACGTGGAAAGTACGCAAGGTATGAATACATTTTTGAAAAAAGAATGCCGGGATCTTTCTTTTCAAAAACTTTGTCTTCACATCATATTGAAATTGAGTTTTCCTATCAGCCGATCTAAGTTTTTTTGTTTGCCCGTCTAATGTATTTTCGTTTTCGAGAAGCATTATTGACCACTATTGGTTGGGATGCAATCACTTTTTCGGCCAGCTTCTAGGTGTAGGGTATTTAACGGCGTGTCCTGGCCTGCTACAGTATTTTTGCTTACTATATTTGCATTCGTTCGCTAAACTTTTTCTGCGGCTTTTTAGGCGGCTCCAATAATTATTTGTACTAAATTTCTAACCAATATCCGGTCTTGCTTATTGCGATATACCAACAACAAACATCCAGAATTTAAAGATTTGTAAAAGCTCTTTTTCCTTGACCTTTTTAATTTATGGCATTTTTATGTTCTCTGGAAAGTCTTCGATTTATATTTCCACCTCCTAAGTTTCGCATAAATCGCAGTGAAGAGAGTAACGAAATTCAAGTTAATAGGCGTCGGAAGTTATAAAAAATTTTTTTATATTGTTATGAAATTTGTTTTTACTAAGATACAGTCCGTATCACTGGATCGTGGATATTTTATTCAAGAGAAATACACTTCAAAGTTCTTTTGTTTTACTACTTTGTCTTTATGGAAAGAGAATATTCTTTTTTTTTTTGAAAATAGGATAAAATCG